AACAGTTGAAATACGATTAACTTGTAGACAATCTACGATTTGATATTATATCATACTTGATCGTGCCTGTAAAAATGGCATGCATTTTCATGTAAATTTGTAAATTTATATGAAATACATTATTATTATTATTCATGTGATCATTCACGATGACAGTGCCGCTGGTCCTCCGGACCTCTAAGAGGGGAGCTGTGTGACGTACTCAACAATATGATTGTACACTTTTTGTTAGTTGTTCAAATTGAAGGCATTGTACACGATTTTTGTTCAAAACGACTCATGTTTAAATATATGTAATTTCCGAACACAATTCGAATTACAATACATACTGTTGGTGGTTTCGCCTTCTCACTGGCTGTTCCTGTCTACTTGCTCAACTCATACCGTGTTGAATACTTTGCATTTATTGCAGGAATCTATTATTCTCGTGAGTGCTTCGTAAAGGAGAGTGGCATTTTCACGTTGTGAAGTAAGTCCTGCTAATGTTGTGTAAATAGCATCATAAGCTTTTAGGTTCACTTTAACCGGTTTAATTAGCTGAAGTAGTGTTTATTTGTGTGCACTTTCGTGACTTTATGTTTGGTTTTTATATCTCCGTATTTAGGTTTATAAATATACGTGTGTAGCTTAAGCAGCTAATACTGTCATGAGTCTCCTAAATAGTTGTGAACGACCGGACTGCCACTTTCCGGTGGAGGATGGGATGCAGTGTGATAACTGCAACCTATGGTTCCATAAAGTTTGCACTGGCTTATCACCATCAGCCTACGGGAGATGCAGCAAGCCATCATCTCCGTGGATGTGCAAGTGTAGTACAAACCCGTTGGATGTCCTCATCCAAGAGTCCGTAGGACTTCTTATGTCCAAGAAGTTACGAAAAACCACTGCTTAGGGGAGAAATGCAGCATTTAGTACAGATGTTATAAGCGAGGATTCTGGCCTTAGTCATAAGACAGAGAGAACCACATTCCTCAGCTTCGAAAGTAGCAACAGAGGTAAAGTGTGCCCAGCAGTCTGCAACAGCAGACGAAATGCTCCGAAAACCTAGGAGGGCAAACAGTGCCAGCATTGTAAGATAGCAGGGTGATACCACAACGATGAAGCGTTGCGTGTCTGGTGAACGCACGGCTTCCAACTGCGGCGAGAGTAAAGTGGAACCATCTGATTCCACCTGGCTAGTGCCGAAGAATAGGAAGCTCAAGAATCACAGGAAAGAGAAAAGTACTGTGCTTAGTGATAAGGTCTCAACGGTCGTAAACACCTTCGGACTCAAATTACAGTATAGTAATTTGGAATTTGGGGGAATATAAGAAGGTAGATCCAGCTGCTCGACATGCAGACGATCTCGAAATAGTTAGCTCCGTCATCCGTGAAATACTTCCGGAAAAAACAAATAGTGTTCTCATAAGGGAAGTCATCAGAATCGGTAAACGAATCGCCGATGCAACGGAAAGTTCCCCACGACTGCTGAAGGTAGTACTGGGGAACGAGATGGAGAAAACTGTTATTCCCAACAACGCATTCAAGATCGAGAATAAAAAGATAAGAATTAGGCGAGACTGGCCTTTGGAAGATAGAATTAAGAGAAGAGAAGCAGTGGCTGAATTAAAGGCCCGATTAGATAAAGGTAAAAAAGACCTCAAACTGTTGGGTTTTCGGGTAGCAAGGTCTCGGAAACCTATGTTACCCAGACCTCTGTTCATAAGTCGAGTGAACACATAGGTCTCTCAGTATGCTACACGAACGCTTGTAGTCTTAGGAATAAGCTTCCCGAACTAGGAGTGTTGACTGAGGAACTACAGCCGGATGTGATTGCTATCACCGAAACATGGTTGTTAATGGGTATAGACTTAACTCCACTCATACCTGGGTACATCTGCATTAGAGCAGAGAGAGTAAGTAGTCGGAAAGGTGGTGGTGGGGGGGTCGACGTTGTCGGAAGCTCATGACAGTGGCACCTGTGAAGCTGCAGGTTGTGTCATTAACTTGAACAAAGGCACTGTAACGATAGGGTTTATTTATAGAAGTCCTACCAGGCAAGCTGACAATTTCGTCAGGACGTGGAGTAGAAAGAATAGGTGTCTAATAGTAGGTGATTTTAATGCCCCGCATATTAATTGGGAGGAATGAACATCAGTTACTTCGTACAATTGTTTCAACAGGGAACTAATACTGGCAGTACTTGAATGCGCACTTGTGCAGCACGATACCATCCTGAACATGATCCGTTCACTCTAGACTTGGTGCTAACACACCAGAAGGATGTCAGTAACATTAGGGGGCTGGCGCCGCTAGGCAGTAGTGACCACATGGTTATTACTTTTATGTTCAGGATCCAGGCCGTCATACATAGGTCAACAGCCGCTCGCCCAAACGTTTGGAAAGCGAATATACCTGCAATCCGAAATGCAGCAACCCTAGCTGACTGGTCTGTTAACACACACCAGACTGTCGAGGAGGCTTGGATGGGATTTAGGAATACACTAGAGTGCGTCACTGCACCCTTTGTACCTTGGTCTACGCCTCGAAAATTATCTCATAAACCACCTTGGATTAGCAATGAAATAAGGAGGTTACTAAGAAAACGAAAGGACTTACGGGACCGGTTTGCTGTGACTGGGAGGAATGAGTTTCGGATGGAATACCGCAAAGTTCGAAACCTTTGTAAATATGAGATTGACAAAAGTCGTATAGAGTATGAGAGACGGTTAGTACTGGATTGTGTGCATTATCCAAAGACTGTACTCATATATCAAACGCAGGTCTAAAACTAGTAGTGGCATACCGTCCCTCATTAGCAACACAGGAGAGACTGCCGAGTCAGATGAAACAAAAGCTGAGGAGCTCTCCGAGTACTTCTGTGATGTTATGTCGCCTAATCGTACCACCCAGGGGTGTAGCGAGGTAACTGATGTAGCTCCTAAAATGCCATCAATTGTGGTAGATGATGCAGTGGTTCTGAAACTAATGTCTAAGTTGAAGCCAGGTAAATCACCTGGACCAGACGGACTTCACCCTGGATTGCTATTCTCCATGGCGGATATAATATACATTCCACTTACGGAGATTTTTCAGGTGTCTCTGACCCAGGCTAGCCTACCCAGAGACTGGAAAGATGCTTTTATAAGCCCCATCTTCAAAGATGGGAACAGGCAGTTAGTATCTAACTACCGGCCTGTAAGTCTGACCTGCATTATAGCAAAGGTGTTGGAAAAACTCATAAGGGATCAGCTCTTAGCTCATACGGAAAAACATGGCTTACTGGCAGTGGAACAGCATGGATTCTGACCAGGACGATCCTGATTGACAAACTTACTGTTAGCAAGGGAAGATTGGGTCGAGGCCAGGGATAAAAACTATCTACTGGATGTTGTATTTATCGATCTTAGTAAAGCATTCGATAAGGTATCCTATTTAGGTCTTCTTAGTAAACTTAAACATTTTGGATTAGACCAACGCTTATGTGAGTGGTTTAGTGACTACCTAATGGATAGGAGGCAGAAGGTAAGGGTTAATGGTGTATTGTCAGGGTGGAAAGCAGTACTAAGTGGAGTACCTCAGGGAACTGTACTTGGCCCCCTGCTATTCTTATTGTATGTAAATGAAGTGCCGAAAATTCCTACTTCATCTTCCCAATTATTTGCGGATGATATTAAGATATGGAAAACCGTAAATAGTAGCGATGATAGGTTGGTACTACAAAACGATCTAGACAAATTAGCCGAATATGCTAACCTTTGGAGTCTGGAAATTAATTCCAAGAAAAGCGCGGTAATGCACCTAGGTCAGAAGTCTCACACGTCGTACTCCATGGGGGACACAGAACTGCCAGATGTTAGGGAACAAAAGGACTTAGGAATTATTGTTAGCCATGACTTAAAAACAACGGCAAACTGTAATCGAGCCGCAGCTAAGGCCCTTCGAATGCTGTGGGCACTTCGAAGGGCTTTCAAACGATTAGATGAGGGTATGTTCCAAGTACTCTATGCAACATATGTCAGGCCTCATCTAGAGTACTGCATACAAGCGGCGAGTCCATGCTTCAAAAAGGAGGCACATACCCTGGAAAGAGTACAGAGGGTAGGAACGAAATTAGTTAGTGGTATCTCACACCTTCCTCATGACATGAGGATGGAGCATTTAAATCTCTTCCCATTATCATACCGAAGGAGGAGAGGCGACCTAATTTTGGCTTACCGTATATTCAAGGGTAATTTAGGGATTGACCTTTCAAACCTTCTCTCCCCCTCTAGGATACATTTACGGGGTCACCAGAAGAAGGTGCTCAAACCGCGGTCGAATAAAATACGTTTGGAGTTTAGATTCTCTCACAGAGTGGTCAACGACTGGAACTCCTTACCTGATTCAGTAGTAACAGCTCCATCGGTGAACGCTTTCAAAGAGAAACTGGATCTCTGCAGAGATATATATCGCGAGGATTAACATAGGCAACAGGAGCCTTCTATCCTTATAATCTGAATCTAAATGATTAACCTTCATAAAAGTTATATAATTTCATTAGTATCCCTTTCTGCTAAAATGGGCACTTCTACATTAAAACTACTGTTCTAAGTCAACATTAGGCCACATAATAAATCTGCATTACTGCTAACGTTTCTGGGTTGTATAACCCAAGTCCTCCATAAGGTCTTGGCTTGTTGTTATCCCTATTGTCAGTGAAATACCCGACTGATTGACTGACTGACTTCCACAGGGTGTTTATTTGTTGCACAGCGCACTTCTCTCCTGTTTTATTTTTACGTTTGTGCTGTTACAAAATGTAAATTGTCATCTGTTAAAGTTAGAATTGTTTTTTTTAAAGTCCTTGTTTAGAAATGATAATTAGTGTTGATTTTAGTTGTCTTGTAATTGATATAAAAATGTCATTAACAAATTTTACAGAATCGTGGAGGAAAATCTCTCTGGTTCACACACAAGACCAAGACCTATTCGACGAGGTCCCTAACCAAGATTCTATACGTTTATCTGAGCCATTGAACATGCACAAACTTACCAGTAAGTTGATTGTTCTCCTCCATACAAATAAGAGTCTGTTGTTTGAGGTGGTAACAGCAGCTGAGGTCAATTAGTTCATATTGTGATTATACTGACGTTTACACACTGTGGTGGTTGGAGTTGGTTTTCCGTAGATTGATTGACTGATTGACCATTATTCTAATGACTATAGTGACTCTGACATTGTGGTGTTTTTTGAGACGATCGGAAAGAGATTTGTGTGTGAGAAGTGAGCATGTGTTGTCTGAATTTGAAAATAAAAAAGCGTTTATTTGTAATAATAATTTGATCAGTCTGGGACTGGATCGTACATTCATTGAGTATTTTCTGAACGCGCTTCACTTAACTCACTAACTAGAGGTATGGGTGGGAGATGAGATTGGAAGTATCCATTCCAATCATCAAGGCTTTTGAAGAATAAGTGTATACTGGTAAGAATGACAATGATAGTAAGATTAGACTAGGGATGGGTTATTATTGTCTCGACGTGTGAAACACAAAGTGAGGAGGAGGAGGAGGGGATTGTAGAGGAATATCTGTGCTACGGTGCATTGATTCAGTATGTGTGACACTGTTATACAATAGACATTGAAGATGGGGTGAAGGCAGATCTCATCTTATAAGTCAGGCGAGAATTTTGATCCAACAGACAACGTATGGTTCTGAAATAGTTCAGAACGATTCATGACTGACCTCACCCCACAGGGGGGGGGTCATCAGTCTATAACACACTTACACACCTGTTTCAATAAACTAAAAGCAAGTAATTGTTGTGCCATATGTAATGTTTATGTAATCACCGTGTTTTTCACAATAAGTAGAATTTGTTTTGATAAAGTCTCACAGCGTGTTATACAGTAATGTTTACTGATGACCACGTTTCGAGCACAATTTATTGCTCATAATCATATCAAGGGACTCACACGACTTTCTAGCTTCCATTACTTTTCATCGCTTGATTTGATTGGTAGTAGTATTCTCCATATTTCCGAAAATGAACAAGGAGAATTAGCTGTGATGTTAGATTGTAAAATAAAACGAATAGAAGAAGGTAAACTGCACACTAGCGTTTTTAAAAAGCCAACGCATTCTGCTAATAGATATTCAGACTTTAATTCATCTCATCTGTCCGTTATCTGTCTGTTAAGGCAGGCTTAGTTAAGTTAAGTGTTTAACAAACCGAGCAATAGCACTAAGTAGCACAAGAAAAGGCCTAAATGATGAAACAAAACGGACAGAAGAAGAGGCGTTGGTGTCAAATAACTAACTATTCTATAAAATTCAATAGGAAGATCAGTAAAGGCCAAAAGCAAAATCGAAAAATAATTGTGAAACTCGTAATGATAACATAAATTAGAGAGAATATAAGTCATCTACTGTGATACCATATAAGGATGGAGGGGATATCTGAGACACTCCCTACGTAGGATTCTTAATAATATGGGAATCAGGCTGGCAGTGGCATTTAAACCTACAAACTCACTCAGGTAGGACAAGCTCTGTAGACTAAAAGACCCTGACGGTTGACCCAATTAGACAAAGTAATATAATTCACAAAATACCTTGCATTGACTCTGACTTAGGTCAACTACATAGGTGAAACAGACTAGTAGATCGGGGGTAGTCAGATTGTCGGAGCATAAGAATTTAGCTAAGGTAAGAATGGTTGACCCCACCCGAGAAGATAAGTAATTTAGAGAAACGCTCAGCACCACATTGCACTGCATGCATGCATTAACACACAACCACACAATAGCATGATGTGAGAGGGCTAAGATTCAAAGAAGTAATATATGTAGGTGGAGAGAGAGAGGTAGATTACTGAATCCTGTCTGGTTCATTGAGTCTACACCCAACACTTGCAATAGGGATGACTCATCACTCATACCACTACTGCCAATCATCAAATCAAGTGATGAAAAATAATGCCTTGATATGATTATGAGCAGTAATAAATTGTGCTCGAAACGTGGTCAGCAGTAAATACATAACACTGTACAACACTGTGAGACTTTATGAAAACAAATTTTACCCATAATGGAATTATACTCTACCACCACAGTGCACAAGTTTTATTCTTATTTCACAATTCATCGTGTTAGCAATTTTTCGTTGAGATCTTCTGTTTTACTGTGGTTAGACACATTGTTAATTGGGAGTTCTGGAGCATAAAACACTCACCTTATTTACAGTATGCTTGTATTCAATCAAACGGGTGTACAAATTTTAGTTGAAATGGTATGCGTGAACATATCTGGTCAATGTTCGTCAATGCTCTTCATCAGGCCGAGTGTGTGACTCATCGAGCTAGTTGAAAGCACTTGGTTTAGCATTATTACACATTGTTTCTTTGAGAAAGAAAGGAGGAATGATTTCTAGTAGTCCTATCGAAATTTATTGAAGGGACTATTTTGTTTTAAATGATCGAAAAAGCCACCAAAAACATGCTCTACCACAGGCGCCTCAACATTGCACAAGTGATAACGTCCAATTCCGTGTTGTGTGTGTGTGTGTGCGTGTGGATGCATACACTGACAGGAGGAGTAATGGCGCCTTGCTTGCATGTTGGCGGTGGGAGAACATACATACATATACCTAAATGGCTTGAAAAATAGTTAAACTGTGAAACCTCGATAGGCGTACGTGACTGATAACCGACTGAAATATATACATATATATATATATATATGCTTGTTTAAGTTGACGTCATTCGTCTTTCATTTTAGATGAGCTGTCATCTTTGATATTATCGGAAGGTTTGTTGGATTCAATATGTCACAAGTTGTGTATTCCAACGCCAAGATCATCAGTGTTTGATGGATGGACTATTATTCTTACTGGTGGTGGTGCTGGAAGTGAGTTTATGGTCCTTTCTACAATCTTCTCGTTGATGTTTACTTTGCATTAGCGGACACATTTTATTCCAAATTCCTATAGCTTAAAGTAGTAGGCACTTATAAAATTCGTGGAAAATACCCATCGGAACATTAGATGATTGAAAAGAACAAGAAGTTCAGCAAAGATGGCGATCTTTTCGGCGACTTCATTCTCAAAAGCATCTGTACAATCGCATTTATACAGATTAGTTCACATGGATACAATTATCATTTGTTTAATTAATTCCACATAGTAATGAAGGTGATAATTATTTTTCAACTTGATATGAAAGTTTGAAGGTACGAATATAGATAGATTACAAGGGGCTTAGAGACAAGATTGCATAGGATTAGAAAACAGTTACAACGTGTGCAAAATTAATATTTGATAACTGGAGAAATAATTTTAAAGGCGAATAAAAGGTGATAATTATTTTCAGCTTGATATGGATTACAAGAGGCTTAGAGACGGAAGTTACGCAGGGATAGAACGAATTACAGGTGTGAACCAAATGAGCATGGAAACAAATTGAAATCGAAATTTTCAACTTGAAATGTAAGTTAGGCGTGTGTGAATATAGATTACAAGAGGCATGTAAACAAAAAAATACACCGGATTAGAATATAATTTTAAAATGGTTGTTCTAAACGGGATTACAAGTGTGATCAGGAGGAGCATGGAAACAAACTTAAAATAACTGATTTTATAACTGAAAAAGTTGGGATGAATTGAATGAAGACAAACAGAGAGAGCAAAACAAAAGAAAACTGAAGGGTAAGGGAACATACCGAACTAGGTCCGTGGTAGTTGTAAAGGCTGGACTAGTTTCTTTTGAACACATAGCTCCGGCTTTTCGATGCATTTGGCGAGAGCTTCCGCAGTATAAAGAAGTTGGAAACACACTGACTGCCTTTGGTAGATTTTTGTTTTCTTTGTAAATGACTGAATGATGAGTCAGTTGAGATTGTGTGACAGGTATTGACGAGGTGTTCAGTGATTGCCCTTCTGATTGAACCAGTGCCTCCTGTTTGCAGTCATGCTGGATGATGTTATCTAACACGTTTTGATAAGACCCGCATAGAGCGACGTATGTACCTAGCTCCGCAAGAGCAGGTGAACTGATATATATGCACATTGAAGTGGTCATATGCGGAAGTCTGTCCTTCCCGTTGCCCCGAAGTAGTGGGCGGTTAGAGAATATCACTCTTAGAGTTGCTGCCTTATAAAGTGGTGATATTTTCGGGTAATTACAGCGCAGTCAGCTAATTTGTTAACCACCTAGGTGGATCATTTGTTGTTCACGTGACGATTTTATTGAACAATCGGTTGTTACACCATCAAAGGTTCGGGGTCGTTACGTTACGTGCCTGTAGAAACTGATCTTTCAGATGGGTTTTGTCTGAGAGATCATACTGGTCATTGGCCTGTCAGTGTTAGGCTAAACCTGAGATAGACCTCAAAATAACCACACTTAGTAAAATCTTCACCGCGTTATAACCTTAACAGTACACTCTATCTAACGTGTAAGTACTGACGAATGGAATTAGAGTAAAAAGACTTGAGACGCGGGAAGTGTGTCTGGGGACAGAGTTTTATTTTACACAAATGAAATATCAAATTTAATAAATATAGAGGTGTTAAAGAACCTATCTGTGGTTTTGACTAGTAGCAGGCTCAGAGAGTGCGCTGAATGAAAGCACAACAAGAGGAGAGAGTGAACGCAGTATGTACAGGAGAGTCACAAATCAAAAGATGAAGTGAGTGAGTGCGTTGAAACAAAGGTTCAATTTACACTACAGACCCGAGACTTTATCAAATGACTCAGAATTAAAAAAACTTACGGTGACCTTGCTGTATTTTCGCGTTTTTTATTCTTTCCTAAAAGCCATATGAAGTGTGATAAATGAGATACTTTGAATGTTTTAGATACGCTTTAGTACGCTTACGTGGTTTCTTTTAATAGGTAATAATAGTCCAACGGCGGATTCCGTTGATGTCAATCTTATAGAACAACTGATTGTCGCCTGTGGTGGGGAAATCGCCGTGGAGATAACACCTTCTTTGCTCAACAGACGACGGGGAAATAGTTGTGATGGAAGTTATGCACAAGAGTCGGCAATACAGCAAAATCGGCATATAGCCTTAGTTTCAACGAACTGCTGTCGTACATTTGCATACTTGCAGGCGCTTGCTACGTTGGGTAGCATCCCGATACTATGTACTGAATGGCTACTGGATGCATGTCGAGAAGATGCCAAGACATCAAGTGGAGAGTCTCGTAATTGGCCTCTCCACTTATTACTCACGTATCCTGGCCGTTATGAATTACCTAGAGGATTCATATCTGGATCCTTGGAACCAGTTAGTTGGTGAGTTTTGATAATTTTTTCGGATCAATAATGTTGATGCGTAAAAGTTTTTTTTTATAAACCTGGAAACTAATGTTTCTTATTTGACATTGCACATACACTAATATATGTGTAAAACATGGGCACTGTGGTGGTAATAAGTAATTCCCTTATTAGTTTGTTTATTAGATGGATGTATCGCACAGTAAGTGAAACAGTATTAGTATTTACTGGATGACAAAGTTGTTTCGAACACAATTCATTATTGTTCATAATCATATCAGCAATTATAATCACACGACTTCGAAACTTGAGTTTCATGGTTTTCTTTGTCCTCTCCTATTTGTCGTCGTAGGCGTGGTAGTAGAATATTCCAGATATCTGGCTGGACAGGTGTTGAATCATTCCTGTTACACGTGTTGATTTGCAGTTGATTCGATAGACAAAGCTTCTGTTATCAATCTCTCCCTCCCTCTATTCACCCTGTGACATTAGATTTCAAAGCTGTCATCCTATCCCATCCAGCCTATTTTATGGTTGTGTGTGATTGCATGTAGTGCTTGCAATAGCTTCTGAACTATTCTCTAGATTTCTTATCTTATTCGGGTCAACTAATCTAGATTTTGCTGCTAGGTTTTTATGCTGTTCGGAAAGTCTGACTCACTGACCCCGTTCTACTACTTTGACCTGACAATCATTGCAGACAGGATATTAGATCCTTTAACCGGCAAAGTTTGTTTCTCATTGAGTTTGTGGTTGGTTTGAATCCCAGCCACTTTTATTCCTGCAAATACGTGTAATAGGGATGATTCAACACCTGTCCAGCCAGATATCTGGAAAATTCTACTACCACGCCTACGACGACAAATAGGAGAGGACAAAGAAAACCATGAAACTCAAGTTTCGAAGTCGTGTGATTATAATTGCTGATGTGATTATGAACAATAATGAATTGTGTTCGAAACAACTTTGTCATCCAGTAAATACTAATACTGTTTCACTTACTGTGCGATACATCCATCTAATAAAAAACTAATATGGAATTGCACATACACGTTTTGCTAAGGAATGCTTGTGAACCCCGTTGACTCTTTTAAAAAAAGTTTTACTAGCTTCTTGATATCACTTTAGGACACTGAATTAGTTTCAAATATCCCTGAAAGATTGTGCTGTTTAATTTTCTAGTGATATAATGATAACTCGATGCTTTCTAGCTTCTATTAATATTCACTTGTACCAGCAGTGTGTTGCTAACTGGTTTCTTCACACGTTGATTTATCTATGTTGTTCAGTGTGTTCCAGTTATCCTCTTCGGTGGTGTACAGGTAGGTGGGTGGAGATTGTCGATTTATTTTATGGTGTGTGTGTGTGTGTTACAGACTATTATGATTATTTTGATTGTGGACACTGATTGACACTCATAATCTTGATATTTATTTCTTTTGGGATGCTTTTAAATAAATCATTGAAAAAGAGATTCTCTTTGGCGTAGCATCATACTGCACATGTTTTCTGAAATAATAATAAGGAATATTTGTCTGCAAACATGTATTCTCCCTAGTAGAAGTGTAAGAACTGAAGACCAGAGTCAGGCAACAGATCGTTTGTTCAGGTAATCAACACATATTTATCGATTTTCATGTACATTATTATTATAGATTATTGTTAGCAGATAAACACACTTCTCTGATTGGTGGTTGTTTCTCACTGAACGTTAGTTAGTCTTTCATCTCTTTGTGGCTGTTTCTCCAAGGTCAAATCATCTATCACTCTGCTCACTGTATCCGCCTATGCAAACAAAGTGTGCTGTGATTGGTTGTTGGTTGAGTCAGTCAGTCTTTGTTCTTGATCTTCTTTTCTCATGACCGATATTTGGGACATAAACATTGACGTACATTACTGTCTACCAATTTTGGCTAGAGCACACAGCTCTCACCAGAGTAGTACTTTAAATGTTATATTTTTTGGTTTAAAGAGTGTTTGAAGGGGTTGCATATTGCTTTGAAATTGCTCTGAAAGCTATTTATTTTGAATACATCAATAACAAACAACTCAAGGATCAGATGAGAATACAACACACCTTCATTTTATTTAGGTCGGCATCTTCCCAACCACTGACAAATTGAATGACGGATGTTAACAGTTTTACTACAATTTTCAGATAACCTTTTAAGTACATTAAAGATAAAATGTGCAATAATAATAATAATAATAATAAATAGCCAATATGGTTTATGGATGAATTTTCAACGTTAAGTTAGTGAAATGTTTTGAATTGCTGCTATATACTTATCAATGTAATATGACCAAAGTTTCTTGCATAAAGCAACGGCATAAGCGGGAATCAACAACATATTGTGGTATATGTAAATTATAACATTATAAAAGTGTTAATGTGAACGAATGGAATCTGAATAAAGTGGATTGTGAGTTGAGCTCATTTGCTTAGACATCAAGAATATTGGAGGATAACGTTTTGGTAAGTGATGATGTGACTAAGTAAGTAAGTAGCCTAAATGACTTCAGCGACTCAGGCAGGGATTGACTTGTTACCAGTGAATAATATCTTGTTGCTTTAGGATATGCAGATGATATATATATGTATAGTCCTGCTCCCTGGTGAAGACGCTGACAAAATAGAGCTCGAGTCTTCTGAACACCTTGTTGAGCAACAGTAATCTCCGAATGTTTGGCATGCCGGCGAATCACTAGAGCTGCTGTCAAATTTAACAGTATGGTACAAGACTGGAATACATCGACTCATAGCTTAGAGATAAGGAGTGAAGCAAGCGGTCGGTGGGGCGTGTTGACCACTTCATTTATTCGGAGAGTTGTATCAGCCAGCTCCAGCGGATGATTGATGGCTAACAAAGTCTCAGCACAGGCACACACAAGCCTCACCATTCGACATATGCGTCAGCTTATGCCATCTCTGGAATAGACGTGTGATATCCGGCTGACTGGCTGTCTACCAAAGGGTGTGTGTGTACTGCTCAGGAGTCAGGTCCGTCCTCCTTTATGGGATGGCTGTGAGACATGGCCATTGAAACAAGGAAGACATGAACAGGTTGGCTAGCTGTCTTTGTATTCTTCTTCCAATGCACCTGCTTTTGCAGCTATACAGTTGGAAATAACAAAGGAATAACTAATGTGTGTCGACTTTTGACTGAACACTGACTAACTTGGTGTTGTTTGGTAACACAGAAGTTAATCTGTCTGTGTGTGAGAAGACCTCCCCGCTGATTTCTTAAATCGTCTGTTAACTCTCTCTCTCTTACAATGTTGTTGTTTTTATCGATTTATTTATTTGTTTTCACTATTTTGTTTGTTCTGCTGTGTTAAGCTATTTACTTATCTCGATTTATAATATATTCAGGTCGTCTATTTCTGTGCACTATCGTTCATCTGCATACGCGACAAACCCTCCCCCGCTTCCTCCGCCTCCTTCTCCTTCATTGTTTTCTTTATGCGGAAATTGGGCAAGCAGAGAAATTACTTTTTGCCTAGGCGCAATAGTTACCAATGATAGGGAAGCCTTTGGATCCGGTTGGTTGAATATTGTATCGATTGCATGTGGATTGATCAGTGAAACAGCTGAAGGTGTTAGTTGTTCGTCGCCTAGCCAAATTCCAATAATCCCTGTATCTGAGGCATGTAGACAGCTTTCAATGATGTTTCCGATAACCAGATGTAACTATGGATGTAAATCTGTTGAGCAAAAAGTGAATTTCGTCCTAGTCGACGAAACTGAAGTAAGTGTTCAGTGTAGTGACACACGGTTATTTGCCTATCATCATCCTCATGTATTTCACGCATGTCCAATGAACATTAGATTGACCTATATTTATTACCTAATTAGTTTTTCTACTCATAATCATATATACTACACTTTAGTATTTCCACTTACTGTCAAACTTTAACACACGCAGAAAAACTGGTTGTTGTTCTTGTCTATTTTGTAATTCGTCTATATTCATAATCTGGATGCTGACGTCACAGGGTACCCGGATAAGCGCAGGTGGTACATACTATTCGAACTTCCAGATGGAGAGGATAATCAATCGAAACACTTCACTGGAATCTTGAATGAGGGTCTCCGAAATACAGCAGACATCGATAGCGAGGCTTTCCAATGTTCTTACCAACCCTGCCTGTTGTCCGATTTGCATCAGCGTCCGAACATTGTAGGTGGCCAGTTTGAATGCGGCACGTGGTTTCAGGATATCTGTGTTAGATGCGACATCGCATTGGGGACAACCATTTTGAAGGCTACTTACTCACTAACATCTCGAAACGGCACAGATAGGCTGGGAATGCAGACAAAGGCGAAAGGCTGTCGAAGGTGAAGTCTAGAAGTCAAGGTTAGCAAAGGTAAAATACAGGAGTCTATGTATAAAACTTAAAAAGTAAGGTTGGAAAGACATAAGTCACTTGAGACACCATGATTGCTTGAAAGCATTGTTACGAGCACGCGATAAGTTTCACTGATAGTTTGTTGCTTCATTTCATTTATTGTGTGAGGGCTGAAATACTTACTGCCTGGGGCGCCCAGACCGAAGCAGGTGGTTTTCTTAAGAGACCACCCCTCTGTGCCCTTGACTTGGAGTCTAATCCGCAAGGCAGCGTCAGGAGCTGCATTCCCATGATTTCCGGTGACCCATATGGGTTCATACGCTATTTGATCCGATTGGATTCTGTAGCCGATGTACCCCATGTCAACTGCTTTTAGTCTAACCGTCATCCAGACAACTTTCGTGACATGGTAGGACCTGCAGGGACATGAGTCTCAGCCAGTTTAGCTTGTTGGGTCACTGCGATATTCAAGCCCCCGGACCACCAAGGCAAGGTAGCAGTTGTCGGCCGGGTTAACACACGTGGAAAAACTGGTTGTTGTTTTTCTTGTTATTGTTGTCTATTGTGTAATTCATCTATATTCTCATTTATCTGTTTATGCATATTTATTTTAATTTTATAGATCACTCTGTCTGAGCTGGCATACATGAGAACATTGCCTGTCGTACTGGTCACATCCGAGTATTTCATTCAGTCGTTAATCCGTGGATATTTAGAAAATCCAAAGTCTTCATCATGTTTCTCACCGAATGCTCATAGACAGGAAGTTTGAATCGCATTTTTATAATAGTAACAATAATACGTACAGTTATTATTAGTATAGTAGTAATCCATTGCACAGTCTTTCAACTTTGTTTTGCCCTTTTTTGGGCATTTAGTCTACCTTTAATGAAGAAATCCTCGCCTTTATTATTTATAAGAAACTTGATTTTGTTATCATTATTATTATTATCATCTCACATTATTAAAATTTGTACACCGTAGTTGTGGTTGTTGTTGTTGTTTGATTTGTGAACTTCGTCTTTTTCATTCCCCTCTCTGTTGTGTACAGTCAGTCGATTGTTGTGGTTGTTGTTGTGTATATCCAACTTATCTCGGCTAAGTAAGAGTGTCAAACCGTCATAGTATTGTTGTTTCTTGTATAGCTAGCTAGCTAGCTAGCTTGTAACGTGAACACTACTATTATGTATATATATTATATGTGTATATGTATGTGTACATGTGTATTGAATATTCCCATAATTTATTCAGAACAAAAAAATATTTAGAGCGAACAATTGTCGCTTTCAATAAATTCTTCCTTCTTCAGGCTGCTCTCCAATTATAAATCCATTAATTAATTTAAGCATACAATAGCCAGCCAGTCAGTCAGTAAAAGCAAATTAGAATCATATGAGAAAGTGTATTGCGGAACAAGTATAAGTAAGATGGATGGGATGGAACAATAGTCAGTTAGTTTTATTTAATATGCATGGTCAATGAGAACATGGGACAAAATGAGATGCAGTAATTTAATTTAATGATGTTTGTGTGTATACATATAAATATAGTGAACGGAAAAATACAGGTTTCGAGAGTGAGTGTAATCAGGGTGTGTGAGAGACAATATGAAAATAAACCAACGAATGGGGTGGTCTAGACATAAGTTCAAGGTTGAAAATAACGACAATAAGAATGATTGTAAAATAATAATAACGATGATATGGTGTAAAATTACAAGTAGTATTGGTGAATGATTGTCAAATAATAATAATAATAATAATGAATGAGTATAATGAAGTGGAATGAACAGGATTTTGTAAATAAGATAACAAGTTAGAAAAGCACTGCTTAAACCTAAGGTAATAAAATCATAAGGAAGGTCATGAAATCATAAAAGTCGAAAATGAACGTTTGTCAATGAAACAGAGTAATAGAAGAAGAAAATTGTGAAAGTAATTTATGGTGTTAATGTTTATGGAGGATTTGTTGGCTTTATTGTAGGCCAAGGTAAACATAGAGGTTGAATATACTTCTTCTGTATGCAAAGAGGTGGTCTTCTGGTATTAATTGCAACCGCTTCAGCTACTGATAGAAGACGCAGTCGAGTTCCTCTAGATAAATTACTAGGAACGCGGTAAGAATAATTGAGAACGCCTGGTCAAGTTTTATCTGGTGTCCAGTATTTACCAAGTGGGCTAAGACTGCATGCACTATTTACGCATTTGGTTACCCCTTTAACTCAAACATACAGGTACATGTTAACGGGCGCGCGCATAGATAAAGCCCTCTGAGTACGGCCAATGTAACTAGTTCCACATTAGCAGTTGAATTCATAGATACACATTGATGAGGCCATCACCAAAGTGATTTACCCTTGACTTGCTGTGTGAGTACTGGTTTAGTTGAGTACCAGTTTAGCTGCAGGAAATGTTCTATCTACTGCTCTATTAGGTCGACATTTTAGAATGTCAGCTGGATTTGTAATTGCAGAGCAGTCTGAAGAAGGAAGAATTGATAGAAACCACAATTGTTCGCTCTAAATATTTTGTTCTGAGTATATGTATGTGTATGTATTGAAGCTGCATATATGAATTTGAACCGATTAAAGAAAGTTAACAAACAACATAGCTGTGTATATTTTTTTCTGAAAAATATATTTGAGACTTTGCATTGTTAATTTCATGTTAATTTTTTGTTTCCATGAAAGAAGTGAATGCCTTGATCCGTTGATGTGTTGTGCCTTGCCCCATTTCAACAAGCCGCATCGTTTTAGCCTTTTTTCTGTATTGTTGTTGCTTCTCCTTTTGTTTTCGTCTTTCCACCGACTGGAGATGGATTGACTGAGTGATCAGGTATGGCCGAGAGAAGAAGAAGAAGAGGAAATCGAGAGCGAATTGATCAGTTTTGTTCTGCTGTTTTTTAGTGTGGTGGCAGCTGTGTGTGAGAAAGACGGAATAAAGTAGTAAACTAGAGTATAAATACCCAGTGTTACGTGCTTCGCAATAATACTTACTGGTTCGTCCAACTTGACTCTAGAATGCGCGCCTCCACAACAGAAATGCACCTACAACCAACTGGTCAGTGTGAAATTTCCCCCACCCCACTGAGATTGATAGATAGACAGACAGACAGACACGAAAGTCAGACTGGAAAAACGACGACGACCTGAGGTGTGACACCGACAACCTTTATTAGGCAGAATAGGTGGTGGCAGGTTTATATTGACAAAATCTGAAGAATTTAAGCGATAGGTAGATGATGAACTATGTGATTAGTAGTTGTGTGACATCGAAGAAGTCCCAGCAAATAAACGAATCAAAACTGTTTAATCAGTCGATCAGGTTGTGATGTCAGTACATGCATAAATCATGACGTCGTCACGGTTGGGTGACAAAGATGCTTGCTTGTTCGTTCTAACAGACTATCAGACTACTACTGTGGTGGTGTCATACACGCACACACACAATGTTTGCCAACGGAATATGATTCTCGCATATTCCCACAGTTCAATTCCCACTGCATTAGCAACAGAATGATACTATACTATGTGTATATTTGAACATTCTATTTCATGTCGTTTGTTTGTTTGTTCCTAGAGGAAAACAGAGCTTCAGCAGACACATTTCCGTTTCATTCTGTTCTTTGCAGTGTTTTTTGGTTGGCTTTAGGATTGCTTCATAGGCTCTCATGTCACCCTATACAACCGCGGAAGCGAATGGACTATTTTTACAATATTAAAGTTGATTACATGCACAAAAATACATGGAGAATTTCTTTAATATTACAAAATAGTAACTTAGAATAGTAGTAAACATAATTGTAAAAACGACAGAAAAAAAATAGAAGAAAATCTGCACAGCAGCCCATGTTATTTCCAATAATATGTACTTTTGCTGCAGGACTATCAGTTTTATGTATTTGTATGTGTGATTGTTCATGTCATGTGTCCATGTGAGACATTCATATGTGGTGCAGAAGTGTGATTTTAATACCTAATATCTATAAAATCATTAAATGTAATACAAGAATCTTTTCAATTTTGAGCATTTGGATGTTGCTTACATGTGTGAATCATAGGATATCAGCGACAGTTGTGTGTAGCAATAGTCTTTAACATCGGAGAGTTTTATAAGGACAATATGCTCTTTGCGTGTACATAGTGTGGAGCAATTAGAAGATATAGAATAAACAAAATTGTCACGTATTTTAGGAGGTTCATAACAGTACTATAGGTTCAATGAGGATATATATGTGTATGAGTGTCACAATTTGTCTCTCAGTGTATTACAACAGATGGCAGTACAGTAAACGTTCACAGAGTAGTTTGATATGGCAATAAATTTACAACATCATTGGTTCAATTTTTTTCCACGCCTGAGTCTATACGTTGCACGCATATAAGTATCATAGGTTTTCA